AGCTGTCCCGTGAGCCGCTCCCGCCGTCCCACGAACTGCTCTGGCAGCTACTCCGCTCAGCTCTGCTCTACTTCAGCCGTCCCTTGGGCCTCTCCCACAAGGCTCCGCTCTGCTAGCTGCTCCTCCAGCCGCTCCGCTCTGCTCACCGACCTGTGAGTCGCTCAGCTCCGCTCCAACCGTCCCCACGAGGCTCCACTCTGCTAGCTGCTCCGCCAGCCGGTTAGCAATATAGCTTCAGGCTCCCCCACTAGTTAACACAGCCTCAGTGATCTCAGCTCTTAATAACTTTAGCTCTTTTGTGATTTCAGCTCTTGGCAATTTCAGCTCATAGTAGGGGAGCCCCAGTGGTAGTGCACCATTAGCCCAAAGTGAATTCAGCTCAGCAGCCTGTAACTAGACTCCTAATGGAATCAAAGTTAGCTCTGACATTCAACAGTGGAGAGAGGAGGTAGTGCAATTGGTGTTTCAAACCCTCAGAGAGGGCCCATACCATCAGGTACAAATACCTGTCCCCATCCTCTCTCTATTCACTGGGTTTTGTAACCCATGCCCCTTGTCCATCAAGTGCTACTTAGGTAATGGTGCAGGACTCACACAGTTCCACTGGCCTTGATTCACAGAATCAGGGTAACAAAACTTTATTCTTCCTGCCCCAATAACAGAGAAAACTGGGGATCCCACACCAGCCAAAGTAACCACTTTGAGTTGCTGTTGTTTCATGCCAGGCGAGTGGGTGTGCCTGTGAAAACAAGATCAGCCCCTGGAGTTCTTTTCCACACTCGCCATAATTCACCACCAGATGTCAGGGTAGAGCTCATCCTGACTCTGCTTACATTTACTTTTGTGTCTTAGAGATGTCAGAGTTCATTCATGACGAATTTTGGCCACACTAGGCCTTTACTGCGGCAGGAAAAAAACCAAATTATTGCTTTATCAATATATTGTTTTAGGGCCAAATTCTTGTCCCTTTGAAATTAATAGCAAAACTCTTGTGACTTGGCCCTTATTGGGATCAGGATTTGACCCTTAATGTAAATTTTCCCCAAATACAAATTTCATTTTGGAAAAGGTAAAGTGTCTCTGAAAAGAGAGCCAAGAAAATTTCACATCTATATCGTATTCAACTTGAAGTAAAATAATACTAACACAAGCCATGTATTTTCTAGGTATTACATGTTTAGTGCATATGTTTTATGTATATGGAGATAAGTAGGATGTAGTCATGTACTTGGGCACATGAAGACACATACTATGAATGGATATAGGAAAGTGAAAACGAAAGAAAGGAACGGTCTGGATAATTTTACAGTAGCTGATAATATTCAAAGCTATGTAAATGAAAGTAATGGTGATGATGAACTCCTGCTTTTGGGTGAAAGCTGATCTACTTCCTGAAGGGCCTATCCATACTATGGCTTGAATTGTGCTAGAAAAAACTCTGATCAAAACTGATATCAAGCATGGTTTTACTAGACCTGTGGTTAACTGTTTAATATGGTGGCTGTTTGGTATAGCTGTAAGCAAATCTCTTTTTTTAAAAAACCATCATGTTATGCTGACCATTACTTAGCAGTCATTGCAGAAAATCACATTCAGCTTTTCAGCCAATGTTTGGAAATGCAATCCTCCAAAATTAAGTGGTAGAATAAATGAATAAGGTATTCTAGAAAGTCCTATGTATTAAAGCCCCACTTAAGTGATGTACTTAATTACGTGCCTAATTTTGAGCATGCATGTTATCTAGTTAAGTAGTCAGTAGAACTATTAACATGCTTGAATTTAGGTACTTGCTTAAGTATCTTGCTGACTCGGAGCCTAATTAGGGCTGACAAATACAGACTGTTACGTTTTCTTAGTCTATCATTGACACCTAAGGTCAAACTCATCCCTGATTATAACTACATTAAGGTCAATGGAGTTCCACCAAGGATGAAATTGATTTTTTTATGATTAAAGGGTAGTGCTACCATATTTGTGGTAATGTCATTCAAAGTATGGTAAGTGTGCTTAGCAGTCTCAATTGTAGCAATAAAAATAAATGATATGGTATCTTTTTATAACAAAAAATATTACGTGTGTGTGTGTGTATATATATATATATGTGTGTGTGTATATATGTGTGTGTATATATATATAATAAAAATATCCTGTAAATAATCTCTTTTGGTCTTAAGCATATTACTTTTATTGCTGTGTGGTAAAACTTTTAATTGTTATTGGTGCTGCAGCCTATGATAAATGATGTATTTGTATAGCAAATTTGTAAAATACTCCCTTTTTAATTTAAAAAAAAATCATATTTAACAAAGACCAAAAAAAAACAACTCACCTTTTTTCGTTTTAAATTGGGGGCTGGAATCACTCATGGTACCTGTAAAGTTCTAAACATCATGCTGTATGCATGAATGTTTTCTTGCTGCCTGCCACAATGTTAGCTTAGCTTAGTTCTAAATGAAAAGGAATCCAAAGATTGTTTCCCTCTTCATTGATCATGCTAATCATATCATATATATTATATAAACACATGTAGCCTGAGGACTCTGGGTCTGAGCCTTGAGTTAGTGTGATTTGTGTGTAGACAGAAAGAAAGTGGAGGTAGACTTGAGCCTGAATTCAAATCCTGGGTTTATGTTGCACTGTAGACATATTCTTAGTATCTCAGGAGCATGTTGCTATAATATTAAATCCAGTAATTATCAGGTGCTGTTCAAGAGGTTTTATCTGTTTTATGAATAGTCTCTTATGCTTGAACTATGACAAATTCAGCTCAATGAGAGCTATCAGTTTTCAAATAAAAAACTTCAAGGTTGTGTGAAGGTTGTAAATATATATGCTATCCATAAGATTCTAACAAGCATTTACTGTTGTAATAATTTTTTAAAAATAAAGCAGGAGATTATAAATTACATTGAAAAAAAATTAGTTTTTAAATCTGAAAATTAACTAACGATACTTGCTCAGTATATTCATAAATCTTTTACCTAAAGATGCAGATATATAGTAACTATCCTTAATATACAATTTCTATGTCCTTTCAGAAGTGGGTGCTGAAACATAAGCTTGTCAGGATCCTGTTTATATTATAAATATTTGTAACTGTATTTATTAGATGGATAGCATGTTTGCAACTGTAATAGTATTACTGTTTCATACTTCAATGTAGACAAGTCATAGACCTTTTTATGCTCATCCAGGTTGTAACTGCAGGCATCATTTGAAGAAAACATGGCTGCACAGGTGGCCCTGACACTGCAACTTAATTAAAAATTCTGTTTATGATGCAAGAGTCAGAAAATAATCTGTTTCACTCTACCATAGCTCTTTTGGTTCTGCTTGGCTGACAGCAAAACTTATATTTTGTCACTAAAGTAATCAGATTTTTTTGTGAATACACAAGGGCAGTTCTTTGAGTAAGAAGGCATCATTTTTACCACATACGTTTCTCAGTATATATCTGCACTTCAGAAGCATTTAAAATACAAAAATTTATCCTTAAAAATTATTAACCTAGCCAGTGCTTTAGCTTCTGGAGTAATAAATGCTCATGTCCTAAATAATCTCAGCTATCACTTTGCCAGATGGCAGGCAGAGACTTCTTTGTAAACAAATTTTAAGCTACAACAGCTGCATTAAAATATCACTACGTGTTGGATTTTAAACTCTCAAAAAGCAAGATGAGTGAAATACTGTCCTGAATGTACTCCATTATACCATGGTATATTTAAGGGTCTCAAGATCATCGCTCATTGTGCTATTTGCCATATATGCCAAATGCTCTAATGATAGGTAGAATGTTGGTGTGTATTGTATACATGTCTAGTTTGGGCATTAAATTCAGCCTGAACACTGCATTTCTTTGTCTTATTAATTAAAGACCTTTAAAATGTTTCTAAACCTCCCTTGTAAAGTAATTACTGCAATTTGCAAGATAGAGCCATTTTGTGAAGTAAAAAAAAATCCTCAAGAGCTCTTGCCCCAGTTGAAAATGACTTTAGTCACCTCTGTTAAATGTGTTAATGGTTAGTCCAGTTCTTAGTGAAGAAATGTGCACATCACAAGAAACTCCATGAAGAGCAAGCATATTTCTGAGGGGCCAGCTAAATGGAGTCTGTGTTTGAAGAGATTTTTGTGTTACTCAGTCTTAGATATCGTACATGAAGTAAATAGTAAAGGTGCTGGCTAGGCTGAAGAGTGTGGGATTTTGGTTTTTGTGGTACAGAAGCTGAGGTGGCTAGATTTTTTTTTTTTAAACAATTAGCTGTGGTTTTCTTTCATTTTTTGTGATGTATTACATTTTGAGTTATTTGCCTAGATATTCAGAGTCTGGGAGAGAGCGAAACTATTTTTAGGCATTATAAATCTACAAAAATATATAAAATATATGTAAATCTTAAAGAAATTGGATTTAAAATGACAGTAATGTGCCTATCCCATATCTGGCAAGAGAATTTAAATTATTGATCTAATGTTTAATTATTTCCCTGTTAGATATTGCAAATGGCTCCAGTTCAGGAGGATACCGTCCACCTCCCAGAACAAAAGAAGTAATCATCAATGGACAGACAGTGAAACTAAAATACTGTTTCACTTGCAAGATTTTCCGCCCACCTCGTGCCTCACATTGCAGCCTTTGTGATAACTGTGTAGGTGAGTATAACGAAAACTTACATGTTCAGTTTTTGTAATTTTTTTCATTCAAGTGCTTTTAGAGGGCAGGATAGTCTTCCTATGAATATATATGGTGGTGTGCTTACAGATACCAGACTCACATGGTTATAAAATCATCCAGAAGGTCACTAGCTAACAAAATTATCCTGCTTCCTACCAGCTAATGTGAGGATTTTGGAGGAGGGTAAATACAGCCTCCTGGAAGTTTCAACCATATAGCAGTTTTGAGGGGGGAAATTAGGGCTCATCTACACTGCTATTTAACTACCATTGTAGCTGCACCAGTGCAAACCTCTAGTTTAAAGACATGATCTCATCTGAAGTAAACTACACCCATGCAATTCACATTGTACCAGTGTAAATTACATCTACACTTGAGGTTTGCCCTGGTAGAGCTAAACTGGAGGCTAAAATCCCATTACAAACAAAGACTAAGGGCTTTTCTGCACTGCAGCACAGTTCTGTAGCTATGTCACTGTAGCACTGTAGTGTAGACACCACAGCAATGGAAGGGGTTTTTCTATCACTATAGGTATCCACCTCCCTGAGTGGCAGTAGCTAGGTCAACTGAAGCATTCTTCCATCGATATAGCTGTGTCTACAATGGGGATTTCGGACCTCTGAGCACCATAGCTGTGTTGATATACATTTTAAGTGTAGACAGGGCATAAGTGAGATTACATTTCACACTGGTATAGTTACACTAATGTTGCTGCACCGGTGCATGTCCCTAGTTCAAATGCACTGAAACAATGTAAAAATGACTTGCGTTGAGTGCATCTTACTCTAGTTCGGGGGATCCCAAACTTGGTTCACGGCTTGTTCAGGGTAAGCCCCTGGCGGGCTGCGAGACGCTTTGTTTACCTGAGCGTCCGCAGGTACGGCCGGTCGCAGCTCCTAGTGGCTGCGGTTTGCCGGTCCCAGCCAATGGGAGCTGCGGGAAGCAGTGGCCGGCCCGCGCCGCTTCCTGCAGCTCCCATTGGCCGGGAATGGTGAACCGCGGCCACTGGGAACTGCGAGCAGCCGTACCTGCGGACGCTCAGGTAAACAAGGCGTCTCGCAGCCCACCAGGGGCTTACCCTGAACAAGCCGCAGACCAAGTTGGGAACCCCTGCTCTAGTTTGAACCTGGGGTAAACTACAGTGATGCAGGGCACTTCTTACACTGGGCAGTGCAACTACACTAGGGATTTGCATCACTGGTGGGAGTTAACCCCCCATGAAAATGAAGATTGGTGATCCACACCTCCTTTAAAGGCGAATCCGGGTCCTTTCTTTGCCACTCATCAAGAGAGAACCACTGACATTCCACAGCACAAAGGATGCAGCAATTTTTGGGGAGCCCGTGCAGAGTATTGCACTACTTTTTTGCTAGAGAGCCAAGATCTTCAGGGAACTCCCTGCATGTAACTCAACAGGAGTGTGTAGGGATGAAATAGGTTGATCTGCTGCTACAGTTAGTCTGCTTATGTGACTGGTACAAGCATCACAGTGTGCTCAAGCCTTGAGTCTGGAGTAGCTGTCACAGAACAGCTCTGCTGCCTTGGCTAAACTGTAATGAGGGTGAGAAGTTTGTCTTTTCCTGTCGCAATTCCAAAGTAATTGGCTTGTGCTATGCTCTGCAGCCAGGATATGATCTGTAGACAGTTCACATCTTCAAACAGTTCCAGCCTGTCTGCAGACTCAAGAAGACAACACAATATCATTCACACTCAGTTTACGTTTGGAAATTTATCTCTGCTAAGGTAACGGCTAGAAATTTAATTTTGCTTTAGTATCCACAGAAATTTTATGGTTAAGTAGTCACTCAGAGAAAACGTCTTACTTGCCTTTGGCAAGTGAGTGCTATGTCAGGCCCTGATTATATTTTAAAATAGTAAACTGAAATAACATTTGGTCCTCTCTTCTGTACATCCTGCCTTTTTTCTGGAAATTGTTCCTTGAAGGGTAAGTAAGGTGATTAAAGTGTGATTATCTACTTTTTATTTTTAACCACTATTCAAACCCGAGTAGTTTTCCAATGTAATTAGAACGCATTTGGGGTTTTATGTGGCTGAGTAACACACTGGTGATCCTGAACCTTGTGCAGTCAAGAAAATAATGTAGAAAGCAGATGTCTCCAGCTCAGAAATGCAATTGCAGCATGTAGCAGTGATCCTTTTCGGTATAAAGCAGTGATTGGCAGAATTATACCTTCATAGTTAGAGAATATCCATATACCTGTCGTGAATTCTAAGCTGTGTGGGGAAAGGTAGCCGTTGGTCTTCATATAATGAATAGATGCCTGCAGGCAGTTTCTTTGGTAAATAAATCAATCCATTAGATGTTAGGGTAAAAATTCTATCTACTAATCAGGAAAACTTTTTTCTCCTATATTAAAATTGGAATTCTTAATCAACCATAACAATCAATTTTAAGCTAAAATCTGTTTTTATAAAAGCCACCTTTTATTGACCATAGGACAAATAGGAATGTTTCTCTGATTTTCAAATTAGAATTGAAACGTTTTTAGGCAGATGTTACTCATGCAGTGTTTGCAATCTATACATTGTGCTGCTATTTGAGACCCTGACAGTGAAACTGAATTGACCAGGGGGGTTGTTAAATAAGTCAAACAGACTATTTCCACTTTCCAAACTGAGAAACGCGGGGGGAAAATAAGCATAAACAGGGAAAATGTTGTGGGTTTTTTTTTCAGTTTTAAAATAATCTAAAGTGGCGTTTTAACATTATTTTATAATCTGAAAGCATCCTTTTTATTTTAAATGTGGGAAACCTGTCTTTTTAAGTAGGGGAGAGATGCAAAGTCTTTGATCGGTAATGAAATAAGTTAATTTAAACAAAGCTGTTTTCCTATAATGTCTGCATTCAAGCAACAGATATAAAACAGCCACAGCATACAAATATATCAGAACAATCCATTGTCTTTCATAAGCAGGACACCACCTTGATGGTTGTTTTTTCCTGAGTATATTCCATTTCAGGAGTTTTAGAACAGTTGTACAATTTTAGGGGAAAGTGAAGGAGGGAGGAGATAGGAAAGAGGAGACACAGGCACTGCCATGCATTCTACTTACTGTGCTAAGTTAGCACAACAGAATTCTTATATGGCCTGATTCAACCACCACTGACGTTAATGGAAAAACTCCCATTGACTTTGGAGGAGCTGGATCAGGCCCTTAAAGATTATCAGTTTCACATGAAGATGACACCAAAAATACTAATAAATCTAAAAGACTGAAGGATAAATATTTGTATGCTGTGGCTGTTTGGAAGTTAGAATAATTTGTATAAAGCTTCATGGTCCAGTATAGTTGACACTTGTGGACATCACTTGATATTGTTTCACTATGCATTAATACTCTAACACAGGGGTAGGCAACCTATGGCATGCATGACGAAGGTGGCACGCAAGCTGATTTTCAGTGGTACTCACACTGCCCGGGTCCTGGCCACCGGTCCGGGGGGGTCTCTGCATTTTAATTTAATTTTAAATGAAGCTTCTTAAACATTTTAAAAACCTTCTTTACTTTACATACAACAATAGTTTAATTCTATATTATAGACTTATATAAAGAGACCTTCTAAAAACATTAAAATGTATTACTGGCACGCGAAACCTTAAATTAGAGTGAATAAATGAAGACTTGGCATACCACTTCTGATAGGTTGCTGACCCCTGCTCTAACGTCACCTTTAATGGACCATTAGTTGAAAAATGTTTGTTTACGTCATTAACAGAAAAGACAAACGGGACTTACAGTGCTATAGTCAGCAGTGCTATAGTCAGCTATAAATCAATGGTCCCACTTTTTGATTGTATTTGGACTATGCAGAAGAGGTTTTTTTAAAAAAGGGGAGGCTTTGGTTAGCTAACATTATATAATAATTGAGAACTCTCCTCTTCAGGAGCCAAAAAAATTAGGATATGACTAGCAATGTCCTTATAATGGGCCTTTCAGGGATCTGTCCCCAGGGCCGGCTCCAGGCACCAGACGAGAAAGCACGTGCCTGGAGCGGCACATTGTAAGAGGCAGCATTCCAGCCAGCCCAGGGGCATGGACCCCGGTCCGGGGCGGGCAGGAACTAGCGATCCCCACCGCTCATTGTGCCTCCGGGCTCCCCGGGACATGCCATTCCCCACCGCCTGCACCGGCCTCTGCCTCCCGTATCGCTCTGAGCCCGGCCCGGCCGAGCTGAGCCGCCTTTAAAGGAGCGGCTGAGCCAGCACCTCCTGCAGCCCCTGGGCACCGGAAGGAGGGAGGGTTCTGCGGCGGCCCGGGGGGCAGCGGAGGCAGGGAAGGAGGGTTCTGCGGCGGCCAACGGGCAGCAGAGGTAGGGAGGGAGAGTTTTGCGGCGGCCCGGCGAGCAGTGGTGGCAGGGATGGTTCTGCGGCGGCGTGGCAGACACCGGAGGGAGGGAGGGTTCTGCGGCGGCCCGCGGAGGGACGGGCCCCACTGATCCCGGCGCTGTTTGCACTGTGCCGAGACCCGCTGCAATGCCGGCCCCGCGTGGAGGTTGCAGACCCCAGCCAGCGCTGCCTGTGTCGGCCCCCTCGGAGCTTGCCCAGCTGGGAGAGGCACCCCAAGGCCGGAAGGAGGAGCCCCTCTCGCCCAGCTTCGAGCGGGCTGCAGCGCCTGGCTGCCCACGGGCGGAGGGAGCAGGCGGGTGCTGCCTTTCACCCCTCTGTGAGCCGCCTTGACCGCCCTCCATGTGCTGCCGTTTTTTTTTTGTTTTTTTTTTGCTTCGGCAGTCCGGCCGCCTTTTTTTTTTTTTGCCTGGGGCGGCAAAAAAGCTAGAGCCGGTCCTGTCTGTCCCCATCAGCTGCTACATGGAAAGTACACACACACACACAAGTCTGCTCCTTTCAACAGGAGTGTTCAATGTCAGTCTAGCAATGGCTGGCTTTCAGCCCTTCAGCCAAGGCTTTCTGATGATTTCTGTCCTTTTTGGAGTTCTAAGTGAATCAATCCATCAATC